ATCATTAATCTAATCTAACTTCTGATATTAAATTAATCAATTACTGTATGTATATTAAATTAATTAATGTATATGTTTTTGATTTATTTTAAACTAAAGATACTATTTAATTTCACATTTTAATCACAATTGTTACTTAATCAAATTCTTTAATGTTTATACTTTTGTTATGTATTTTGTATTTTTATATTTTACCACTTATGGCCTTGCACGGCCTTGATGAAAAACACCCTTGGGTGATCAAGTTTTTCCGTGTTTAAATAAAAGTAATTATTATTATTATTATTATTATTATTATAACAAAATCAAATTTTATAGCTCTATTCGATAGCTCCTGCTATCTTCATCAACGTTAATGTGAGAAAACTTTGGAGATCTTACATATACATAAAGAATGATAAATGGTATAAACCAATAAAATTATGAGACAGCACTAGTCCGTGAATTTGTGAACAAGATCAGAGATCTAAAGATGCAATCTTTACCGTGCATCAGTGGCGGCCCGCTAGATCTTAATACAGATTCTTTAATAATATATAAATTTTAAAAGGCAAAACCCATAAAACAGCAAACGGCCACATAATGGAAAACTATTTAAAATTAAAATGGAACAGTAGAGAAAATCTGATCGGAATGACAAAATGAACTAAGCATTCACTGGAAGGAATACCAATATCTGCAGACGTATCATATAAGAAATAATTATGACCAATTTTACATACGTTTTAAATGACTGAAAGTATATTCTTTATAATTGTTCATGGTTCAAAAATATGGAACATTATGGTCCCCTAATTAACAAATGTCAAATGTCAACTAAGTTTACTAATAAAACTAAAATTGTATTAATAAATTTATACTAGTCTAAAAAACATATAAATATTTATATTTAATATTTATATTATTAATAATATATAAAATAACATATAAATATTCAGTTATTTATATAGCGTCTTTCTTTGCAGATACAGAGCGCTTTTTACCCATGGCATTGGGTCTACATGCTTAAGTTTTGCTGCTGTAATCAGTGCAGGAACCAGCGACACCGCCAAGTACCCATTTATACTTCTGGGAGGAGGGAAGCAATGCAGATAAAGTGTCTTGCTCAAGGACACAAGCGAAATGCACAGCGAGGGATTGAAACTCTGACCTGAAGGTTGGGAAACCAAACCATTCCTGCTGCGGCAAACCACTTATTATCATTTTTTTTTTTCCCCCATTTTTTGAGTCATTTGGATAAAAGTTTATACAGCATATTAAGAAAATTCTAGATTCATACCCATTATACATTTACCTTCATATTATATTTATAACTTTTTAGCAATTGTATTAATGTATAATCTAATACCATTTTTTTAAAATCTATAGGCCTACCTGTCTTATACTACATGTGAAAGACCATGGAACTAAATGGATTGAGTGAATGATTGATTGTTTGAATTGACTGGTTGAGTGATTGATTGAAGATATCATGCAAAATTATCGTTTTTATTATAGGGGCAAAGTACAGTATAAGTTTTTCAATTAAATAAATGGCATATTTTGTGTGGTATTTAATTATGAGTATCAAGCCTCTCCAGTAATATGGACGTTGGCATTGACTCTTTGGAAGGAATGACTATCAATTAACTATTTATGTTATTGAGGAGGGTTTTAGTGTGAGCATCAACTTAGTTCCATCATGATTGGGATTGAAAATTTCAGCTGTAAAACCAAGCAAATGGCACTCTCAAAAATTCATATCCAACTTTAGTAATTAAGTTGAGTTTCTCAAAGTAACTAAAAACCAACACTGCTATTTTTGTAGTTGACCTCCTTGAAATTTAAAAAAAAGATATTAGTAATTATCGTAGTAGCAGTAGTACTAGGCCTAGTGTACTACCAGCTTGTGTTTTATAGATGCATTAATGTAATCATCTCTTTTTTTTTCTTCTGATGAAGCTGACAAGAGCCTCTAGCTCAATCCCTGGACGAGCTTCTTCACACTTATAAATTAATTGTTATTTATACAAATTGTAAGTTACCGAATGATATTTATATATAAAAGAAAAAAAAAAACAACATAATTTGTGTACCTGTAGCTTGTTCCATGGGAGATCTTTTTCTGGGATACCATAATCATACAGAATCTCTTGTCCAGGATGTATATTCTGCATGGCGAACAAACACAATGTTGGCTGATTGTCTATAGACAACGACTTCATTTTTGCATTTTGCATTTTCTTTGTCCCATGGTTAATTAACCTTCCCAAAAAAATAGTCCTTCTTTGTTTGGTTCTATGGTTGCATCAACACTGTAAAAATAAAAAGAATCCAAGTTTTATATTACCTGAACTTTCTATTGCTAAAATTGTCTTTTAAAATAAATTTAAAAGGAATAGTACGTGCAGAATTGTTTTTGTATTGTGGTAAACTCAGTCAACTGATCAATTAAATGACTGAACTCCATCTAGACAACTCAAGCTCATGACTCAACACCCAGAACGGTTACAATTGAAACTTAATCTAAACTAAATCAACCAATCAGTTCTACTCAGCAACAATGGAAGTGCAACAACAGCCAGCTAACACGTGTGAACAACAATATACTGTATACCCAGGGAAAATATCATGGCACACTGTTACATAACATATGAAGACAACCCAGCAATACCTGGATACTTACGCGTAAACAATTAAGCATACATTTACTCGTGATTCCACAGTATCTATTTTTTTTCCTAAAGAGCTTGACTGTATAATTATTTACATTAAGTTTACCTTTAATTGCAAAATATAAAAAAAATGCTTTGAAGCACAGCATATTTTAAAATTTGATTAGTAATGTAAACTAAATTAGGTTTGAATTTATATTCATGATGATCAATGTATAATTTTTATGCACTGCAGATTTGAGAAAAACAATGTAATGTCCTAATCAAACTTAAGTACCATATTTCAAATAATTTAAGGACAAAAAATAACATTTAAGTTAGTTATTAAATTACCTATCACATTATTACTGGCAAAGTAACACATGTATGAGACTTAAAAATATATTAAACACACATTATTATAGGAAAATCCACCGCATACAAATACCTATAGGCTGAGATTGTATTAAACACATATCATTATAAACAATTCTTGTAAGTATCTCACATAGAAATATTACGGGAATGAGACACTGTATGCCAATGTGACACATTATTATAGGATAGTGCATCACAAGGTCTTTCAAAAATGACACTTCAAACTCATTTTTTTCGTATAAAATCAATTTTATTCGTAATATATGACCAACACTTGTGTTTATAATATATTTATTAATATAAACACGCTGTAGTTTATAAAAATTGTCAGAATAGGTGGCAGAGGCACTTTAAAACGAAAGAAAAGTGCATTATTTCCTATAGAAATCTATCGTAAATAAAATATTTTCCATTTATCTTATCGCGCCCACCCAACCGTTTTCCTTAAGGGAAAACGGATAACATACACCCTTAACCATAGCAGCAGAGCACCGTATCAGGGCACCGTATCCCCATTGCTGTGACTGCGACGCTGTAGGGCAAACGCGGCAAAGAGAACAAAATACACATTGTTCAACCAGCAACATAAGTCTGTTGGGCGTCCCATACTAGAGCCTGCAAAGAGAAACATACGATTAGAAACATATCTAAAGACTCATGACACGTCGCTGAAATACAAGCGACGTGTCACAGCGAATGGAATCGGTCAAGTGACCTTATATTATATAATATATTTTGCCAAATCTTTAATGACTATATTAATTTGAGGCCTTCAATAAAAAATCCAGTTTGCATGGATTTTCTTAAATAATTATTGATATGGTAATGTTTTGTGTGTTGTGTATCTTGGTTTTCCATTAACTTTATTTCAATCTTCGCAGATCTTGCCCCTTCCCACTTTGTTATGAGACGGCATTCCTTGATGTTTGTGAATTTTTTTTGCACTATCAGCTTTATGTAGCATGTATGTCGTCATCATTTCTGCCATCCAAGGGCTTCGATCCATTGTGAAAAGTGGGGGAGGGGCGAATTTCAAAATAAGGAAATCTTCCTCCCTTTAACTCTTCTCATTTTTTTTCTCCCTCTTTTATTATTTTTTATTATTTTTTACAGGATTGACGGGAGGAGGAACAGGGCCTCTGGCCCCTCGCTGGATCCTCCCCTGCATAATGTCATGGAGAGATTGCACCAAGTAACATTGTGGTATCACCACTTAAATAAGTCGAAATAGACAGACCTCTCCATTGGTATATATATAGGGAAGTATAATATTATTGTTTATAATGGCTATATAAAATTCAATTTACTAACTGTAATTTTTTAAATTAGGAAAAGACAGGAATTGTATACAGACCTTAATAATATACAAAAGAAATAAATTTTGTATAGTAAAAATTGTGAGTTCGTAAAAAAAAACTTTGAGTTCGTAAAAATGTTGGCCTAATATGTTTACACGTTTCCAATTTTAACAATGTACACCATAAAATTGATGGAGTGGTTACTGAGATGGTTACGAAATCTACAAACAATTGCTTTTTTACTCAATGCGAAATGCGCACCACACTTGGAATAGAGCACAAGTGAATGGACAAAATTCATGACAGTCATTCATAATTGTTGTTCTTTCCACTCGTTTCGAAAAGTGGGGTTTTAAATATAGAAGATTGGTGACAAGTGGGGGGATAATTGATGTGATTTCCCCCTACTTTGAAAAGTGGGGGAAAGTGTCCCCTTGTCGAGGGGTGGCGCCAGTGGGGCGGTGCCCCTGACGAGGTGTCAGATTTCCCCGACGAAAGCAAAGTGGGCATGGTCGAGCTTCAATTAAAAGGTTCTGAAAGCAGTCCTGGGATGAAGCCTCCCTACGGGGGCCCTTGTATCACCCACTAATGTAACAATCAACCACTAATGTAACATTAACCACTATTGTAACAAAAATCAAAGACTATTGTAATAATTCATTAACCACTATTGTAACAATGATTTAACCACTATTGTAACAATGATTTAACCACTATTGTAACAAAAATCATTAACACTATTGTAACAACAATTTAACCACTAATGTAACAACGTACAATATATAGTAGTCTCCAAGCCGAAACTTAATGTGCATTGTCATATTAAAAAAAAAAATTTTTTTGTGGCATTTTTAAAATTTTAAAATTTTTTATATAGAGGGTTAAAGGTCATATTTAAAAAAAAAGGTCTGAACAAGCCCAAACTGGACAGGGATAGTCTCTATGACATTGTAAATATTAGTAAATATTTTTTCTGAAGTTAAAGGTCAAAGGTCATGAAAGGAAAATCTTTTTTAAAATGATAGGCTTTTTAAAAATGTTGTGACTTTTGATATAGATGTTTGGTCTGAACAAGGCGAAAATTGCACAGGGATGGTCCTAATTAGGTTACTTAAAGTCAACGCCGGAGTGTAAGAAGGGGCACTAATAATTTGAATGGACGTTAATCCTCAGTGGTACTATAATTTTTTGAGTAAATAAATGCCTTGTTATACTAAAACGATAACGATTAACGATAAAAAATATTTTTATATTTTATCGTTTTAAATTATTATTATTATTATTAGGAATTTGACTTGATTTATGAAAATATTTTTTATCGTATTTTAGCAGACAGTTTCTCAGAAATTGTACGGTCATTCCATCAATCAGTCGGGTAATTTTTGCAGCCCCATTTCATTAAATAATACTTTTTCGCCCCTTCACACATCACTATCTGGTTATATTACATCTTTCCTTTGTATTGGCTTGTGCTAGTATCTGTGACGCAGTGGGGATGTATGCATGCAAAATGAAGTAGAAGACAAATAAAATATTCAAAAATAACATTTAATTAATCAATTTCCTAATTTCCTGTTCTCTGACCCTGCTATACAATATATTTTTGTTCTATTTGATCTATTTGAAACCTTAATTCTATAATATTTGTTAGACTACACGTTAAAAAAATTTTTTTTAGTTTATTTTATATTTTTCCAAGTTGCAATTCTCACTTAATTTTGGTTCATAAGTACAGTAGTAGTAGTAGTTGTAGCTTTATAACCGCAAGGATTATTGTATAATACCCTTCGCCCGATGATGATACAACATTTATTTCCATTAGCCACTGCCTGGTCACCGTAAGTGCCATCTCGTGACATATTTCTAAGATACTGGTTCCATGGTAGACCTATGGATAATTCGAGAGGCATCCCATCTGCAGCACTATCGTGTTCCCTTAAAAATTTACAAACTTCATCTCTCAATGTTTCTGATGAACGAAAAATACCATTGCTTTTCAATTGATGTGCAATAGCCTCAAACTGACTGTTTCCATTACCGGGTGGGTCGTAAGCCACCTGGTATCCTAGGTTTTCAAACACTAGATTTCTATTCCATTTGCTTGTTGGAAACGGCTGAGAAAGAAGAATGGCGAGGATTTTCTTCTAGAATAGGAAGGTTTTGTTTTGTTTTGTTTTTGATACTTTCTTTTGTTTTTCTCGCTCAGCTGTTAGATTGGTTATGTCTTCTACTGAAATCCAAGATGTAGTCTCAACACATGTTAACGGGTGTTCAAATTTCACTTTATACCGATACATTTTTAAGTTCCTTTGAACCACTTTAGATTTAAGGACATATCGTCTTTTAGGAGCAGCTTTTGTTGTTCTTGAAAACGGATATCTTATTAACACTGTTTCTCCCAAATGATATTTTGACGGAATTTTATTCTTCATTCTTCTGTTAATGTATCTTACATCCCATGTATTACTGGCATTTTTCGCCTTCTTCCTAATGCCTGCTCGTTCCTTGTTGCTTGTAATCTTTTGATTTAGAAGACTCTTGATATTTTCTGTTTTCATATACGCGTCTGCCATTCTGTACATAATTTGCCACAACATTAGTTTTTCTGCCGTAAAAGACTTCGAACGGTGACTGCCAGCCAAGAACATCCATTGGCTCCTCGTTTTGAAGTTGTTGGTATCCCTTTAATTGAGTAGCCCAATTCACCCCACTTTTCTTGAGATGCGCCATGTCGAATGCTATCTTTTTCCTAAGGCTTCGGTGCGACCTCTCAACCTTCCCTTGAGACTGTGGATGGTATGGTGAGCTTCTTACAATTTTAACTTGGAGCTTTTTACGTAATTTCTCCACTGCTTTTTTTAACTCTCCGCCATTGTCCGATTGTAGCACTTTAGGTGGTCCAACCTCCATGTATAGATTTTTGAGAATCAGGGCGACTTCTCTGCTTGCTCTACTAAAAAATGGGCGTAACCACAGGTAGCGACTGAAAACATCCTTCACTGTAAGAATGTATTTAAATGTTTTGCCATCTTCCAGGACTGGTACCTTGCTCATGTCAATTATGTCTATCTGATGAAGAACCTATAATGAAAAAAAAGTAATATATCACACAGTAATATTTATAACTCAATGCATTTTTTACAAATGAAAAATAAATGAGAAAAAAAAAATTATGATATGATATTCTCATTTAAATTTACAAGAAGGGGTGGAAAAACCCTAATAATTTTATTTAACCCATTGCATAAATCTCGATATATATAGATGTAAAATCTATTATTGCATAACTATACGTATTACAAGTTTCAATTAATACTTATATTATGGGCGTTTTTACATGAGTCCAAGCATCTAAAAACTTGTTTCGGTGCTGTGTCGGTTGGTTAATCTGTTGGTCGGTCGCCCCCCCCCCCCTTTTTTTTGTTTTAATTTAGCATGCTATTTTTAAACTTCTGTTAGTCCTGGTTTCAAATTTAACAAGCAGTTTCTTAGCGATGGCAGTCAGTCGGCTTGTCCTTTTTGTGGTCTGTCCTATTATTTTGAACATGGTATTTTAAAAATAGTTATCCTATGGCAGTTTTGAAGCATTTTAATGATATCGGCCGGTCATTCATATAATATAGTTAGACCTACACTGTAAAAAAATTTCTCGTAAAATTACGGGAAAAGTCCTGGCAGCCAGGGTGCCAAGAAAAAACCGTAAAATTTACGGTAAAACATAAAAAATTCCCCGTAATTTGTACGGGCAATATAAGGTATATTTACGGGTAAACCGTAAAAACTGCCCGTAACATCACGGGTACTCTTTAAAATTTGACCGTAAATTTTACGGCATATTTATTATAATACCGTAAATTTGACGGCACCCTTACTATGATACCGTACATTTTACGGCACCCTTATAATAGTACCATTAATTTTACGTGTAGCTCAATTTTTTTTTACTGTTCAGTGAACTTTATTAAATTAGCAAGAAATTAAAGTAGATCTTTGAGTTATTTACATAGCACACATGTCCGCATGGAGCTTCTATACTATAATACTTATACATCATTTATTCGCATTGTATCTTCTTTGCATGTATTTGTCTCTCAGTAGTGTTTAAAAAAAATAACGGAATTGAAAAGGCAGTACACTTTAAAAAATTAAATTCAACTATTTTTCTTTATTCATTCATATTTGTTGACCCTTAGTATCTGGGGGGCCTAGAGAGGTAGAGGTCACCCATGCCCTCACTCCAGAATATACATTCTGACTCATCACCATTATATACATCACATAATACAATTTTAAGTATCACTGTATCTGACTGCCGTGATTCAGAAGAACCCCATTATAAGCCAAAATCATCTATAGCTTTAAGTAGGGTTGTAGGCTGTAGAAAACTAAGGGTGAGTGATAGATATTTTTAGGATGGGTACATAACATTGGTAACATTAAAGGGAAATAGCAATAACTTACATCTGCAAGGAACACTATTTCTGGTGCTTTCTCACCCAAATATGCCATAATTGATAAGATAATACCAGCCGCCTTCGTGGAAACAGTTGATGGCATTGAACTGAGATCATATAAAATGTTTTGAATCGCCGGTCTTGTCACAGTTTTCATGTAAGCCATGATTCTTGGTCCTTTAGCTGTCAACGTTTTATTCATGGTCTCTTGTATATCAGTGTTTGTTAGCTGTCTGAAGTGATTGATCATTCCACATCTTTTGAACAATACTGGCCAGTCTTCCAGAAGATTATCAATTGTTAATCCACTATTGATGTCACGCTTTTGACTGTAATATGTTAATTTCATTTGCAATTCTATTTCTTCTGTTACATCACCACTACAATTTTTAAGATCCTCTTGTAAGGCCAACTGCGTTTGTTCAGTTTGCCCCTCTTGAAGCTCTGGTTGCCAGTCCACACACCCATAAGTGTCAATTCTTTTTACCTTTTCAGTAACTGGGTCTGCTGCAACTGCTGCACGTCGTTTTACTCCACTGTTTAAGCCTCTGTTCACATTCTCCCACCTGCTAAGTAATTGTTTAGATAATGAAGAATATCCAGTCCCAATCACATCGCCGTCAATCTGATCTAACAGTGGGGCTCGGTGTTTATAAACAATGGCCTTTGCAATAGTGTTGCAGGCTTTGATTGTTGGGTGCTGCCGGATTATCTGCACTTTGTCAATGATTGTGCGAACCATTGCTCTACGGTCAGAAGGAAGCGGTCTTTTGTTTTGCTCCAATGCAGTACAGAGTCTTGCACTCATTTTTTCCCATGGAACTTCAAATTCCTCGGCCCAATCAGGATTTTGGGTATGAGTGACAGGTACACATAACGCTTCCACAGTGCTTGTTAATGCTTCCATACTTATGGATGCAGTTTCCAAAACTACTACTTCTGATGGGTCAATTTCGACTTCTGCAAAAATGTATAAGTGAAATGTTTTAATACATGAAGTAAATACTGAATACTATTCTGTAGGGGTGCAGTAAAGTTTCTTTAAATCATGAAGTTGCTTGGGAGATAATTGATGTGAATATAATAATAACTGCACTCACAATGTAGAAGTGGTTGGCGCATCGGTTGTGGCTTGGACTCCCAACCTCGGGGTCGGGGGTTCGAAACTCTCGCTGTGCAAATCGCTTGTGTCCTTGGGCAAGGCACTTTATCTACGGTTGCCCCTCTCCAGAGAGTGGGTACCTGGTAGGTTCAAACACAGCCTGCGCTGAATACAGCTGCAACATTATGGAATACCCCTATGGGGCCTGAGTGTGTGTTCCATATGTGCTTGTTAATCAAACTGATTCAATTATAACATAATTTCAAAATATACTGTACTGTAAAAAATCCCTAGAGGTTAACAAAAGAGTACAAGCTAACACTGTATGTACCTGTACGGTTTAAATATTATCACTGACCCTAAGTACTGACACCCACCATTGGATTTTTTATATCTTTGAGCAATAAGTACAGTAATTGTTTAAAAACGAAATAACACCCCCTTGTACAGTACATTACAATATAATTCGTAAATTCTATAAAATTACATATAAGATAAACACTGTTTTTATTATGGGTATGCAAAACATTATAAAATTGTCATATTAAACATGGCTTAACTACGGTATGTTAACGACCATTAAAATTTTTTAACCGGTCCTTGGAACTGCATAATGCTAGCCACAACAATGAGTAAAAAACAAAAATGATTATATTATACGCCTGCAAAAATAATTCGCAAAATCATTGGAGTGTCACCATCCGTCTCTGCTCTGTCGCGGTCCCGGGCCCCTACCTAGGTGACTAAACAAAGGAACCGGATACAACATTTGCCCTGCCACAGACGACCCGGTGCTCAGAGACAGTGACCAAGATAGAGGCACCCCAGTGATAATGCTGAACAAGTTAATTATTTGAAAAAACATTAACTGATAACCTGAAATTGTCAGGAAGCATTTTGTAATTCTTGAAAGTTCCAAATTGAGGAAGACATTTGTGAAGCCTCACCAAAAAATAAGTCTCATGGTTAGAATATCAAAAATTGAGTTTATATTTATTTAGGTAGATCACACAAGTTTTAATTTGGCCTTTGAATGGCTTCACTAGGATATGTAGATCCAGAGATGTGAGCATTTAAATATTATGTGTAAAGAGAACCACATTTTGAGAAAATCCACCTCAAATATAAACTAACCTGTACAAATAATAGGACTAGAATTACATAATACGGCCAGAGAACACTGTTTTATTAAAATCCACTAAAAAAGTATACAGTCCTAAAATATAAATATTAAGCTATTCAAAAACATTAAAATCAAAATTTTGGGGATTATCTCACAATGATTTCATCGACGATGCATCTCATTTCGTGGTGAGACCTCACATTTTATTGAACAAAAAACCCCTACAGTTTTAGACAAGCACAATGCACATGAAATTAGTAATGCATGCACAAGCTCTGAGACATACAATTATATTAATATGGCCTTACTGTAGTGAAAAAAAACCAAACCAAACAAACAAACAAAAATATGTTTTTTGAACATATAAATTTGATTTCATTTTTATGACTTTTTATATGTTGCTCAAACAATAATTTTCCTGCAAACATCGGTAAGAAGTGACTGTGGTTTAATAGCCACAAATTTTATTTTATGCCAATTAGCACACCCGCCACCACCAAAAATAGAAATTTCAGAAAAAATAAAAGTTTTATTTTTATTATGCCCTACAGTACGTTGCCTTAAAATTTTCAGAGATAAGATATGTATATTTCTAATTATATAAATTTGTAGCATTTAACCATCCCATTTTACATTCACCAATAGAATTTTATTTTTATTTTCTCCTCTGTCTGGATGTATTTGGCAAAACTATTGCTAAAGAAAACCAAATTTTATTTTTATTTTTATGCCACCCTCCTCCAATGATCTTTAAAAAACATAAGTGTATGCTAAACAAGGAATAAAAAAAGTTTCGCCTAAGATATAAACATGTTATTGCAACATCTACAGCACACACACTGCATGGTGTAAAAGTACTACCTTTCTACTTTTGAATTGGTAAGATACCAATGGATAATAATCAACTAAGCTATTTGCATTCTGGCATGTATAGATAGTGTCTTGATTATTAAGGACATATATGGACATACCTGGCCATAAAAAAGATTTAATGTTTTCAGTTACAAAGTAAACTACATCATTCCTAATAAGTATAACAACAATGCGCCCAAACACAAGATGCATTTCTTCTCCCCCAACGACGACAAACATTCCTTTACGGTAAAGAGACCCTTTGTAGGTTACACAATATGTTTCAACTGTGGTGTCAGGTGTAAAGTTAAATCTGCATACTGCTTCTGCAATTGACTCATTGTAGGTCTCAACAAGAAAAGGGCTAGCATGCTGAAATTGGATTACTGGTGGAAAAAGGCTTCCTACATTTAAATATGCCTGAAGTAACTGGTGCCTTTCTGCTAGTGTAAAACATATATTCTTAAAAATGTGTGACATCCGTGCACATCTCTTAAAGTATGTGTGCTTACTTTCAAAACGAAGTGTCCAAAGTCTTATCAGAGGGCCAATGTAGGATAAGTTCTGAATGTGACGCATATAATGGTGTTTTGGCTTTAGAGCATGTTCTGCAAATGAATCAAGTCTTAACTGGAGATATTCGTCTATTAGCACAGCCAGATAGCCAACATTTCCTTCATTTATTTTTGGAGCACAGACTAACTCTACAATCTCTTTTAGTAGCAAACAGGGATACCATACTTGATCATTATAATCATTCACTCTATTCCCAACCAAAATTGAAAAGTTCCTTAGAAGACACCAGTTCTGTACAGCATGGCCACTGATTTTTTCCCCTGAACACTAACAGTATTTGGTTTGTTGTTAGCATCACCACCAAGAAACCTGAATTTTCACAAAGTACTTAATGTACAATACTAGGTCATATGAAACAACACCTTCAAATAGGTCATGCCCAAGGCAGGGTGGGAAACCACTGGCTGACACACAAAAGTATTTTAATTGGTTGAAAATGGATCTATGCTTTATGCCTTCAATAATTTCTGCTTCTGGTCTTTGTTCTATTTCTAGCACAGTCCAATCATAGTTAGCAACAGTTCTCTTTGAACTATTAGCAAGAGCATTTTCCTGAAAGGACATTTTGTCAATTAAGCAAAACCTGCAGAAATGTGGAGATGTGCTAAAATTTTCAGTAAATCCACACAGGAAATGCGATCCCAAGTTATCTCCAGTGATTGCACCGACTGTGCCTTTCAAATGATTACCCATCCCATCAGAAATACCTTCTTGTTCCAAATGTTTCAAGTCTGCAATTAACTTAGAAAATACTTTGTCTTGACAGAAATATTTCAAAACTTTTTTCTTGCACAGAAGAACAAGTTGCATTTGGTCAATAGATGAGCGATAAAATGGGGGGAAATTTGCAAGTGAGAAATATACACCCAACACTTTGTGCTTTGTTTTGGCAGAACCTAGAGGATTTACTACCTCAATTGCATCTTGATATAACAAGATATTCATGGCATTTGGTTTACTCTTAAAAAAGGTGTTTTGTTTGTATACTTTTCCATCTGTAATGTCTTCCAAAACTCCTTGTTTGTTTGTTCTCAGCTGCACATTGTTGTACTGTTGATGATCAGTATGTGAACATAGCAATCTAAGAGTGTCAAGTATGGGCACATACTGACTAAAGCACTGCTTTCTGTTATCATTTCTACCAAAGTAAACAGAGACTCGTGCTAATAATAAATTAAACTTTTTCTTAAAGTATGATTTCCGTGTGTGATCTGTTTTGAGTGGACTAGTATTACATGACTGCAATAAATTGATTGCATTTAATTCCTTTACGATTTCTTGTCTTTTGTTAATATCAAGATTAAGTGTATCTAGTTTTTTTGTAATCTTTTGTGCATACATGTTTTCTCGATATCATGCACAGTTTGGAATTCCTCTATTATAGACTGTATAATAGAAGCTGGGAGAAGACACTTAGCTTGAAGTTTTAAATAAAACATGGCAAGACTACGAAGAAAGTCTTCCTCCAAATTTTCCATATCAAAAGACTCGCAATCATCTTCATTATAATCAGTGCCATCAAAACTAACATTATTAACCTCTGTCTCTTGTTCATCAACTGGTTGTTCATCATGTAGTTCTTCACCAAGTACTACATGATATGTACTTTATTATTTTCCTGCACAATATCATTTACTAATAAATCTACAGACCAATTTCGATGTTTACGGGACAAGTGACCTGTAAATGATGACTTCTTATCGAACTTTCTATTACAGGACTTAAAGGGGCAGCAAATTGTAACAACATTCTAAACGCTTTAATAATAAACGCTTTACCGCCACCTATAGGCGATGATTGATGTTGTTGCTATGTGTGAGCATTAAATGGCGCACGCCACGAAGTAAAGCATAGTTCATCGTTCTATACTTATATACTGTAATTATAACTACAAGCATATCATAACATGGTGGCAGCGGTGGTGAATTCCTCCTACACCAACGCCAGGACCTATTCTGCTTCAAACGTGTATACATCAAGGACAATTCCTGTTGTAGAGTATGTGAGTCATCTCCCCTCTATTTACTACTACTGTGACTACTATACTATTAGTTATCGAGGCCTAGGCCTAGACCTACACAATTGAAAAGCATTATGAGCTTGCCGACTGCCCCTGACGCCGATGCGTCAAATGAGGTTGAACCAAATAGCCGGTAACGCCGGCCTTGGTCCTACTGCATACAAGAAACCACAGATTCATCCACCGGCGCCTTTCAATCCAGAAGGTGATGATGTTGCCGAAGTTGCAGAGAGATGGAAAATGTGGAAACAAATGTGGGGAAATTATTGCACTCTGACAAACT